TCAAATAAGTCAAAACATGTTGTGTGTTTTCAAATATGTAAGAAAAGGTATTGTACAAAATGTACTGCATTCGATAGTTTCTTCTGCTTTTATCTCAAAAATGACCCAAACAGGCAGCATTGTGCACTTTAATTAAAAAAAAAAAATAGCCTGGTATGGTGATTCATGATGTAATCCCAGGAGCTCTGGAGGCTGAGGCAGGAGGATCAAGAGTTCAAAGTTGGGCTGGGATTGTGGCTCAGTGGTAAAACGCTCGCCTAGCGCGGGCGGGACCTGGAATCCTCAGCACCACATAAAAATAAAGGCATTGTGTTGTGTCCATCTACACCTAAAAAAAAAAAAAAAAAGTTCAAAGTTGGCTTTGGCAACTTATTGAGGCCCTAAGCAACTCAGCAAGACCTTGTCTCTAAATTTCAAGGCCTAATGGATTGTTAACAACTAAAAAAATATAAAAAATAAATAAAATATAAAATATATATTTTATCTATATTTGTGTCTAAATAAAATATAAAAAAGGACTGGGGATATGGCTCAGAAGTTGAAGGCCTCTGGGTTCAACCTCTGGTACCAAATAAGTAAGTAAGTAAGTAAATAAATAAATAAATAAAACAAAACATGGCACATTCAATGCATTATAAAAAAAATCATGGGTATGATTCAGGTAAAAGTTGTTTGTTGAGTATCATTTATAAGAGATAAAAATGGGAAACAACCTAACTGACCAACAATAAGGATCAACTAAATTATGGAACACCCACTCGAGAGCATTCTTAAAAATGATGATGTAAATGTTCACAATATATCAAGAGAAAGAAGTCAGTTCCAAAACAATGTGGTCTGAATTAAAAAAAAAAACAACAAAACATTAGGTTAGATATGAAATTGCTGATATTGGACTATTATTATTAACTAGAAATCAGCAATTTCATTTCATTTGATTTAGAAAGGAAAGTCTCTCATCAAAATACTGATTATAGTTATTTCTAATTGGTGACTTTATGATGATTTGCCTTTTTCCTTAAGTATATTCTTTTTTTTGAGGGGGGGAGGTGGGTACAGGGACACTTTACCACTGAGCTACATAATTATATTCCCAGCCATTTTTATTTTTTTTATTTTGAGACAGGTCTCACTAAATTGCTTAAGGCCTCGATAGATTGCTGAGGCTGGCCTTGAACTTGTGATCACCCTGCTTCAGCCTCCCAAGTTGCTGGGATTACAGGCATGTGCCACTGCACCTAGCTCTCCTTAACTATATTCTTACTTAACTATATTTTCTAAAATTTCTATAACTCAGGTACTCCTAATAAAACTATCCCCAGAAAGGCATTCCACTCTATGAACAGTAATTTCCATCCTGTTAGAGCTTTTTTGATTTATCATTTGTGTTTACAAGGTCTAAATGACTGCAACTTTATGACCACGGGGAGGATGGAAAGCTACTCTTCACGTACTTTCGATACCAGGACTKCTTTTTACTCAGAAGTGACTGTTCAGAACACTTTGCTGATGGATCCAGTTTTTCAAAGCCCTCTTCATCTCTCACTGCCCTCCACAACAGACAAACATTTTCCATGGGCCCCATCACTTGGGCTTCGGGCCAGCTGTGTCCCTAATCCGCCCATGTCCCAGATTTGGGTATGGTTTAGGCTCCAACTGTTCCCCCACCCTTTGCCCTCTTCCAATCTCATCTTGTGCAGGCCATCAGAGGCCTCATCTACCCTTCCTGTCCCTCCCCACTTAATTTCACCAGCTAATTTCACCCTTTTCCCTGCAGCTGGTGTTTGCTGTTGCTGGAGCTCAGTTTGCAGTGGGGAAGGATTAAGACCCTTTCATGCTGTCTTGGTTTTTTTTTTTTTTTTTCTTAGTGCCCTTGACCACTCCAGGGRCTAACAGACAGCGATCAGGGCCTGTATTCCCTAGGAAGGAACAGGAGGAGTGGTGGGGGAGGGAGTRGGTGGGCTCAGCTGGCAGGCGGAATAGAGCTGGCCCCTAGAGATCTCATCCTGGGCCCTGGAGCATGGCACAGTCATCACCCAGATGTGAGCAGGGAGCCAAGCTGTTTCTTACTAGAAAATTAGCCTCAGAGATGGTGCTTGGGACCTTTACCTTTGATACCTAATGGCAGTCTCTGCAGGGTGAGTGAGCTGGGACTGAATGTGTGGTTTGGCAGATGGGCACAGGAGTAAGTGTGGTTTTAGATTGGGTGGTACTTATATCCCCACTTCCTACTATGGGTTGGGTCCAGCTACACTTGGAGACTTTTTTTTTTTTTTTGGTGCTAGGGATATAACCCAGGGCCTCATGCATGCTRGGTAAGTGCTCTACCACTGAGCTACATGTGCTGATGTGTATTTAATAACAAAAGTCCTTCATGTGTGGATAGTACTTTACAGTTAACAAAGCCATTTCACCTCCACGTTAAGAATTAAAAGTCAGCACAGAAACGAGGACTTTGAGATTCTAAAACTTGGGCCAACTTGGTGTTGGGGCACTCTGAATCTAAGAGTGATTTATACCTGCCTTGTGTCTAGTCTTTTTCTATTAGCCTGAGACCTCGGTTTATTTTCAGAGTGATGATTATTAAATGCTACAAATTCCATGAATTCAAACAAGTATCTTTAAATATGATATGCCATTGGCTAGCACTTCAAAGCACAGAGAATACTTTCATAGCTCTGAATTTGGTTGATAATGTGGTGGTGGAATTGTGAGCTGTCTGGTGACTGATCTTCAATATTCATCCTTCATGGAACCAGATTTCCCTGTCTGATAGGTAAAGGAAGCCTCTGCAACCTGGAAATGGTAGGATTAGAGTTCCCAAATCCAAAGCATAGTTGAACCTGAAGACTTGAAGCAGGGAATCAGAATGTTTAAGAACAGGTGCTTCACCCAAAGTACACAGAATGATCCTACCCAAAGTCACCTAAACTTACTAAGCCTCCATTTTCTTACTTATAAGATGAGGACAATTCATTCACTCATTCAACAAATATTTATTATGTGTGCACTGTTCTGGGAGATGAACAAGAAGAACAAAGTCCCTATCCTCTTCTCTTGTATTCTCATGGGTGTAGACTGCAACAATTTATATGAGAGGGAAAATAAAGAGTAGAAAATCAGGTAGGGGTAAGTGCTATGATTAAAACAGGGAAAGGGGGAAAGAGTATGTGAATGGAGGCTTTTTTAGGTAGAGTGGCCAGGTGATCCTCAGGGAGTTCTTTTTTTTTGGTACCAGGTATTGAACTCAGGGCTACTTAACCACTGAGACACATCCCCAGACTTTTTTTTTGTATTTTATTTAGAGACAGGGTCTCACTGAGTTGCTTAGTGCCTCGCCATTGCTGAGGCTGGCTTTGAACTTGTGATCCTTATGCCTCAACCTCCCTGCTGAGATTACAGGTGTGCAGGATGGCGCCTGGCCTCAGGGAATTTTATGATGTTTCAAATAGATATTATGTAATATGCTCAGCTCAGAGCTGACAATTGTGCTTAACAAATATACTGTCCCCCCACCCTCCAGTACTAGAGATTGAAACCTGGGGCTTTCTACCACTTAGCTACATCTCCAGCCCCTTTTATTTTGAGACAAGTTCTTACTAGGTTGCCCAGGCTGCCCTTGAATTTGTGATCCACTTTCTTCAGCCTCCTGAGTTGCTGGGACTACAGGTGTGTGCCTGGCACAAATATACTATTATATCATCCAGTTTCACACAGTCCATATTTTAGATGCCAAATAATAAACAACACTTATTAAGATCTTACTATACGCTATGTTATAAACCCTTTACATATTTTAATGAGTTCTTTCAATAACTATGAGGCAGGAACTATTACTGTCTCCCTTTTATGGGGGTCAGAAACTGAAGCACAGAAAAGGCCAAACAATTAGGGAGGGCTGGAGACTTAGCACTGCACGGAGGCAGTCTGATTCCACAGAGAGCAGAGATTGTGAAGGGGTTGTGATTAGACACCAAGAGACAGTGTAGCTGGCAGATGCAGCTCTGATGTCAGTTTGCCTGGTTTCTTATCCTGGGAGGTCTAAGCCTCTCTGATTGAATTTCCCCATTTCTAAAATGAAATACCAGAACCTATTTACCTCCTGGGTATCCTGCCTAAAACAGAGCCTTCTTTCTGCTGTGGAGCTGCAGCCTGTTTAGAGACCTGCCTGGCAAGGAGTATGAAGGGTCAAGGGGCCTCTAAAACTTCTGGAGGGAAATAAATGCACACCAGGCAATTGTCAGAGAAACCCTAAACTCATTTGGAAACCAGACCTTGGAAGCTAGCTTTTTTTTTGTTGTTGTTGTTTTCCTTAATGATTCTGAGGGTGCTAGGGTGAAATTAGGTGAATCTTGAATGCACCAGAAGTGGAATCTTGGCGCGTTCTCAACATTGCGCTTCCATTTCAGCTTAGCTGCCAAGAGAGGTAGAGTGTTGTCGAATGTCTGGGTTGGAGAGGCGCCTGGAGAGGTCAAGCTAGTAGATGGGGAAACTGAGGCCCAGAGAAGCTGAGTGACCCACCCAGGGTTACTAGGTACATTAGGGGGCAGTCCCTTGGGGTGGCCTGGCAGCGTCTCTAAGTGAGTTCTGATTTAACTGGGACCTCCGAATCTCGACCTTTAACACGGCCCTCCTCTAGGGGGAAAAGGCCTCACCTTGGTTCAGGATACTAACTGCCTCATTTCCCACGTGGGTGCTGCTGGAAGCCCGGAACACCAGACCGGGTTCGACTCGCGCGTGCGCACAGCAGCTAGCCCCTCGCCTTTACCCCCTTTTTTTCTTTCCCCTCCCCTCTCCTAACCGGCTTAGGGGCGGGGGGAGGCCAGAGGAGGCCGAACTCGGCTTCAGCCAATGGGCTGGCGGGCCGCGGGCCCGGCCCCCTCCTTCCCTCCCTCGTGGTCCAATAGAAGTTTACTACAATGTTGTGGCGAACCGAGGGGGAGGGGCGCGCGCGGGCGGGCGGGCTGCGGGACCGGCCGGCCTCGCCTCGCGGAGGAAAGGCGGGAGGGCGCGCGCCGGGGCTGCTAGCTCGCTCGCTCGCTCCCTCCCTCCCTCCGCCAGCGGGTTTAGTCAGCCAGCCAGGCAGCTAGCAGCCGGCGGGCCCGCGAGCCGCAGAGGACCCGAGCCTCGGACGCCGGCGCCGCCTCCTGCCATTGTTCATCGGGCTGTAGCAGCTGCAGGCGCGGGATCCCGGGCCCGGGAGCTACCGGTGAGGCGAGGCGAGACGGCGGCGGCGGCGCGCGAGTCCGGGGGCGCGGCGCTGTCCCCGAGGGGACGGTCCTGGCGGCCGCGGCGGCACCGCYGCCTCTTTGTCTCCAGCCCCCAGCAGGCCCCGGGCTGGGGGCGCGGGCTCTACCGCCGGGGGGGGGGGGCCTCGTCCGCACGCCCCAGCGCAGAGGGCTGGAGCCAGGACGCGGCCCGAGGAGCGCGGGGCGGGCGGGGAGCTGCTGAGGAAGGGGCAGTGGTGTGCCGGGGCGGCGTTTCAAAGTTAGGCTTGGGCTGCGTTTCTGCCTCGGGGAACTCGGTCCCCTCGGGCCTGTCAGTCATTGCACGGTGGGCAGGAGCCGTGGAAGGAAACCAGGTGTGGGGAATCGCGTGTTTCCGACGGCGAAGGTGTTGGGTGCAGCTGCGGAGCGATGGGCTGTCTCGAGGAGTCGGGCAGAATCTGAGCCTTCCCGCCACAGACACCTGCATCGTTAAAAAAAAAAAAAAAAAAAAAATCTCCAGACCCTCGGGATCCAATGCTTTCCCCTTTCGTCTTCAGGTTCCCAGTGAGCAAAGGGTTAAATCTATTCTCTGAGCATCGTGACCTCCTTTTTCAGTTCGCGCATCTGTCGGCTTGGAAATATTTCCTCATGCTTGCTGGGCCGCTGTACCTGTGGAGAGACTGGATCTAGGCTCGCCCTCTGAGATTCATCACCAGGCCATTATTCCTGGGGAGGTTTTGCCAAAACAGGGTCGTTTTCCCCAGGAACAGGGATTCTCTTGAGAGAGAAAGTGATCTCACGTGAAACAAATTGCTGACGGATTGGTTTCTGACCACATGATAGCGACTGTCATCCTGTTGTTTCTCTAACTGTACCCTACCATAAATGACTAGTCTATGGAGATGTCTTTTGGCATGTGTTGCTGATTAGGAGATTTTTTTCTTCCTTTTTTTTTTTTTTTTTTTAGATGCTGAGCTTTTTTTAGTACTCTGGGTGATTTCACAGCTGCTATTTTGTTCCTTCTGTTTTTAGGGAAAATTGCAAGAAATGGTTATGTCTTGTGTCTTAGATATTATTATAGTAGATTTATACTCTCTTGAGGATATACTGTACTCAGTACTGTTTGTTGTATTCTCAGTCCTGGAAAGATTTTTTAGTTGGTTTGATCCTGTTAATCAAGCAGGATGTGCATATCCTTTATGTAATTCTCATCCAATTTTGTTAATGTAGAATTAACCCTTTTTAAGGAAACACATATTCTTTGTTTTCTTTTTCTGTAAATTGAAGATGGTACATTCTTTGACAGCTGTAAAATTTTTGATTTTATAAGCTAGTCTCTTATTAATACCATCATGTATTGGACATGACAGAATATCTGGACACAGTAAGCACTCAATAAATGGCAGATTAAAAAAAATGGATATAATAGCTGAACATCAGATTGCCTTGGAATSTAAGTGCTAATTCAGAATGCTTTCTACCAGAAACTTACAATTAAAGTAAAGATAGGCATAATTCATATCCCCAGGGAAACAAGTACACTATTATATCTTTGCCACTATTAAAAATAAATTCATTGTTGGATCTAAGTTCAACACACTAGTCTTCTGATTCTAATAAAACTTTATTCAAAACTTTATTCCCCCACCTGTATAATTGTATTCGCGTTTATAAATAAATGTTTTTAATCTTCAGAACTCGCCAAAAATTCATTCAACATTATGCTAGTGTTTTGTACCAGGTGTCTTATAGGTTATTTCTTGCACAATATGGCCCAATCTACCTTTCCACCTTTTCTCTTTTTTGTACCAGGAATTGAACCCAGGGGTACTTCATCACTGAGCAACCTACCCAGTCCATTTTTACTTTTTATTTTGAGACAGTGTCTCACTGAGTTGCTAAGTTGCTGAGGCTGGCCTTGAACTTGGGATCCTCCTACCTCTGGGATTACACGCATCTACCACCATGCTCAAAAACCTTTCCACTTGTATTCTTTTATTCTCTAACCAAATTTCTTTCTGTACCTTTGGTCATACAGTTCCATCCACACTTGTCATATATATTCCTCTTGAATATTTTCAGTTCTCTTACCTTAAAAATGTTCCAAATATCAGTTATTTGAAATGGGGGTAAAGTGCTTTATGTAGGGGCTGGGGCTGTGGCTCAGCGGTTGAGCACTCTTCTAGAGTGTGTGAGGCCCTGGGTTCGAACCTCAGCACCACATATATAAAATAAAGGTATTGTGTCCACCTCCAACTTAAAAAAAAAAAAAAAGTGCTCTATATAGAAGGAACTCGATGGATTTTTTYGTTTTGCTTCATATTTTCTTTTCTTTCTTTTTTATATTTGACAAAGTTTAATTTTTTTTTAAGTTGTAGATGGGCACAATACCTTCATTTTTTTTTTTTTTATGCGGTGCTGAGGATTGAACCCAGTGCCTCACACCTGCTAGATAAGCGCTCTACCRCTGAACCACAACCCCAGCCCCCAAATTTTATTTTAATTGATTGCTTTGTATTTTCTTTGAGCTTCATTACTATGGCCAACCAGTTGAGTTTTCTTTAACAGATGTTTGTTTAAAGAATTTAAATTCTAAATGCCTCATCAATGTATTAATAGCTGATGATAGAATAAGAAAACCCTTTAGGCTTCTATGCTACACAGAGCTAAAAACTCCAGTGACAAGTTTTTTTTTTTTAATATTTATTTTTTGGTGTAGATGGACACAACACAATGCCTTTATTTTTATGTGGTGCTAAGGATCGAACCCAGGTCCCGCCTGTGCTAGGCAGGAGCTCTACTGCTGAGCCACAATCCCAGCCCAGACTGACAGGTTTAATACTTGGAAACTCTAGCTGTCTGCAAATAGACCAAGCTAATGAAAAGTTTTATTTTTTAGGTCGATCATTGCTTGCTTTCTGTATCTGTTCTTTTTCTGCCTCTTTTAAGGGCCAATATCTTTTTAAAGTTTGTTGAGTACCCAAGTTGTATTTATAGTGTTCAAGAAGTAGATATTAGGAACAAACATGTTTTTATTATTATCTTTTTTTTTTTTTTTTTTTTTTCCTGTGGTGCTTGGCATTGAACCCAGGGACTCATGGATGCTGGGCAAGTATTTGACCATTGAGCTGCATCCCCAGTCCTCAAATATAAGTTTTGAGGTATGGTTATCCTGGTGGGACACTGGTGTGTGAAGATGATCCCAGCTACTTGGGAGCCTGAGGAAGGAGGATCACTTAAGTCCAGGAGTTTGAGGCCAACCTGGGCAATATATCTAGATTCTGTATCACAGGGGRAAAAAAAAAAAAGAAAAGAAAGAAAGAAAGAAGAAAGGTGATACAGTGTTTTATGTAAGAATAACAAAAAATGTTCAGATCTTTTCATATTTATGAAATGATGAAGGTACTTTCATCTTTTCTCCTTAAGAAATAGTTCTTAGCAGGGGCTGGGGTTGTGGCTCAGAGGAGGAACACTTGCCTACCATGCGTAAGGCCCTGGGTTCGATCCTCAGCACTGCATGAAAATAAAATAAAGATATTATGTACACCTATAACTAAAAATAAATATTAAAAAAAGAAATAGTTCTAAGCAATACCTAACAAATGATTTGAAATTATTACTATTTCCTCTGAAAGAAGTGGTTGTGGCATTTTGTTGAGCTATGACCTATATATTTTTCTTGTTATTTTTGTCAGGTTTGTGCCCCACATTTGAAGTTCACCAGTGTGATATTTTCTTGTAGATAGCTTGAGTTTAACATTTTTGAAAATTACATAGCTAGCCTTCAGAGTTAAGCTCATCACAAGCATTGCCTAAAAGCCACAGGATTCTTGAATTCTCTGCAGGTACTTTGATATGCTTACCATCAGATTGTGATCTAAAATATGTGGTCTGTAATTTTTTGATGTGATTGCTAGGGTTTGCTCATTATTTTTGAATATTCAAATATAATTTAATATTGGTGATCTGATTTCATAACTAAAATATCAATGGCTATCAGGGTCTGAGTTTGTTTTTGAAATCATGGGTAGCATACGTTTAAATCACAGTCTGTTTCCTTGTTATCTGAGAAGCAGGCCAGTGGTGACAGTGCTGCCAGGGTAATTTTCCAAGAGTCTCATCAAGTTTGTGATTGGTCAAATGCATATTCAGATGTGCATTCATCGATACCTATAAAGGACTTGTTTTTTTCCCTGATTGCTTGAGCAGAGAATCACTTTATTTTGCTTGCAGAGAATCACTTTATTTTGCTTGCCAGCTAAACAACAATAATTCTAATCTTTTTTTCTTTTGAACAACTTTGTTTTTTTCTCTGAATAAAGCCCCCAAAGGTGAAAATTTTAGAGTAGGCCCGTGTATTGATCAGTTATAGGTCTTACTTACACAGGATCCTGAATTTTGGGAAGGTATAGCTTCATTGCACTTAGCTTTTAGCTAGAGGAGAGGCAGATATCAAATATATTTGTTACTTTCTATTGTTCATTTATATTTCTTGGTTTGTTACTAGTGGCTTACTATGTGTCTTTTTTTGTGTGTGAGGAGATTCATGGTGTGTTCAGTAAAATGCAGTGTAACAAATACTCTGGTGTACACACTGGGTTAGATTAGTATTTTGGTTTCCTCTGCTGCTATTTAATGAATACACTGCGAGAAGGATAAAGGGAAAACTATAGCAATGAACAGTATTCAGAAATTGGAGGCATTAGAAAGGAGAACTTGGGTATTTTATGTTACGTACTGATCTCATTTAGAACTGTCACACTGTACTTCAAATGTTGGTTTCAGGAAAGTTTAGTAGGAAAATCTGATTGTGATGAAAGTCTGTTATACTTATTTTTGCTAGTTATTTTTATTTAAATGAATTGTTCCCACCTTGAAGTATATGATACTCTTTGACCTTTGGAGAAAAGCAGCATGCCATGTGTGGCCAAAATAATTTTAGGAATGGCTTGAAGGGACTTTACTATCTCCTACCCCCAATCTTTATCAGCCCCCAGTTGCC